TCTCTCTCTCTCTTCTCTCTCTCTCTATATATATATATATATATAGTATATATATATAGTTATGTCGCGACACATGCGTTGCCTATGTAGTGATAGTGTAAGGAGATTCTAGGTACTCCCTTGTTTCTTCTTCTTTTTTAGTTTCTGATTCGTTGGTGTAGGACCTGGTCCCATTGGATCATTCCCCTTTTTCTCAGTTTTTTTTTTTTTTTATATCTTCATTTTAAAAATAATTGAGTTGCAAGTTTCTGAGTACCGCATTTTGAGCCTCTGATATACCTTGGAACTTTTAGGTTCAGTCCCAGTTTACTCCTTGAGGTGCCTTTTTAATCTATGCATATAATTTAAAAAAAAAAACTCTTGGAATATTGATATAGAAAGACACTCATACATTAAGGAGTGCCAGTTCTTAGTCGGTGATGCTTCACTGAAACTAAAAAATTGAATGCATGTTTATTAGTAGCTATAACAAACTACCTTCCAAACAATAATGAACTCATGACAGTATTATCCTTATGTGTATTATGTGTGTATGCTTGTATTGCATGGTAGATGGCTACATGCTTATATTGCTTGTATGAGGATGTGTATAAGGGCCAGTTTATACTATTTTTCTTTTTTGGGGTTGTATATTATAAGACCGTTTATCATCGGCATAAATGTCACAACTACTCTACACTTTGTTTTTTATACTGTTAACACTTTATAGATGAAGTAGAGTGAAACAAAAAGAGCCCCGAAGGGAGTTACAAAAAGGTCACTGCGAAAAGTGACAAAAGCAGCCCAAAAAGAGAACAGCACAAGCAGAAACAATCAACGAAAAAAAACAAAAACAAAAAAAGAAAGGAAAAAAACCCCTGTTACAAACAATCCCCAAAACTAAAACAGAGCACTAAGGGCTAGGCCCAACAACTGAAGAAGCCTCGAGTTTGGCGAGTTCATCTGCAACTTGGTTTACCTCTCTCTAGATATATGCCTCCATGAAACCTGAATATGCCCGCAAAGAACACGGATTTCGTCACAGTTACCAGAGTCTCCATGGTGGTTGGGAAGTGCAAGACGCCCAAAAGATAACGTTCTGGGAATCCCCTTCGACTAGGAGGGGACCTCAGTAGTGGTTGTAACTCCTAAGACCTTCAAGTAGGGCCTGGCTTTCTGCCTCGATGGAGTCGGTAAATCCAATAGACAAGGATAAGTAGCATAGGGAAATACCTTGGGCATTCCTGAAAATTCTGCCTATTCCTGCAGAGCCAGGGTTGCCAAGCGACAACCTGTCGAAGTTGAGCTTGATGACTCCCCTGTCCGGGAGCCTCCGGAGTGCCGTGCGAGGCACCGTCCTAGGCCGGTGGCTGAGGATGTTTGCCCAGTTGGAGTGGAAGTCGGAGGCAGGGAGGAATGATCCTGGTTAGTGGCCCAGAAAATGACAGATGCGCGGATGGTGGCTTTAATACTGGGGTTGGAGGCAAAGAGACCCCTGAAGATCATGTTGTTTCTTTCCTTTCAAATGGTGGCGGCCACGGTTGCTTTCCAAGGCAAGGCCCAGAACGGGGCTGCGGGAGACGAGAAGAAAAGTTGACGCATTGAGGAACATTTTCGGGTGTGACCCAAACCCACTGAAATAAAGCAAGAGAGTCCCACTTAATGGAAGCAGCTACGGGGCAGTGGATATAGAGATGTGCATTGGTTTCCTCAGCCTGGAGGCACATCACGCACCTATTGGGTAGAGGCAAACCTCCCCTCTGAAGCTGGTCAATTGTTAGGACTCCCCAAACAGGCCAGTAAATTGAAAACCTGATTTCTGGGTGGGATGAGGGAGCACCAAGCTTTGGGGGTGGCAGGGTGCCAAGCAACAGTCCCATTTAGAGAATAGTAGAGGGAGGAAACCGAAAAGGACCCTGAGGGGGCCAGAGTCCGGATGATTTGGTCATCTCCCCTAGGGAAGGGGGGAGAGGAAGAGAAAGTTGGGGAGTTCGTCTTCTCGAAGGGCTCTACAGAGGTCCGGGTTCCAAGTTCTAGGAGAGGCCGAGGTAGGAAAGAGGTCCAGGATGGAGGCTGGGGGATGAGAGGCTAGACAAAAGATAGAGGGGAATTGGGTGGCAAGAGGTGAATCGCCAATCCAAGTGTCTAGCCAGAATCTAACGTTGGTTCCATCCCTGGGGTGAAAATGGGTACAGGACCTAAAGAATTGAATAGAATGAAAGATGGACCTCCAGAAACCTGAGATCATCTTGGCAAGCCTGAGGGGGATGGACCAATTAGAAGGAGTGAGGCGATATTTGTGGGTTAAGATTCGGTGCCACAGCTGGTCTCCTTGGGTGGCCAACCTCCACCACCATTTACAGAGAAGGGCTAGATTAGTGAGCTTCAGGTTACGAATAGCGAGCCCTCCCACTAGTTTACGCAGGCAAACTTGTTTCCAAGCATCTACCTATTAGATGTGAAATTGGGTAGGTAGTGGCTTGTCACACGGACGTTTTTTTTTTTTTTTTTTTTGAATTTGAATGTGGTCAATAACAATGTCCATTAGTTGTTTGATTATATATCTAATAGTTAAAGGTGATTGTGACATATCAAAAGTAAGCATTTTTTGTAGTATACATTTCCTAAAACGAAGGCTTTTGAAAGTTCTGTTAATTTTTTCCCAGGAATTCTAGTCTCTTTTCACCATATATATGCTTCAAGCTTTGGGTTGGATCTTGCAGGTGAGTGAGGCCTTGTTTGAGACTGATGCAGAAAGAGGTCTCTGGTGTGCTTTCCAAGCTATAAAATCCAAAATTCGCCCAGGTACTATTGTCGCCTCGCTCTCTCTCTCTCTCTCTCTCTCTCTCTCTCTCTATGTCTCAGTCAATAAAAAGTATTCTCCTTTGCTTTGTGGTTAGATTAGTCAGTATTTTCTTTGTTTTCATCTAAGAGATGACTCTTATTTGATAATTTGTTCAATTTTTGGGCGTTTCAGGTGTAGATGTAGAGGAGTTTGTGGAGACATCCATGGTTCTTATTCAGCCTTTGGAGGACTTCTTCACCAATGTTTTTGTCATGGTGGTAAGCCTCCTACCTCCCTCTCCCTATCCCTCTCTCCAGTGCATAGCTTATGGTGATTCTCTCTCTCTCTCTCTCTCTCTGAATTATTGTTGAAGCACTATTTTGCATTTGCTGGTGTAGGAAGATGAAAATATCCGGAAGAATAGGCTTGCTCTTCTTAAGAGTATTGCAGAGCTTCCTAGAGGAATTGTTGATCTCTCTCTTTTGCCAGGGTTTTAATTTGTCTTATTTGCAAACTTTGTTTCCGTTTAATATTTTTTCCCTGCTTTTTAATGTATGATGTCTTTTTTGGTTTTACCTAAACCTTTTTTTTTCTTTTGTAATCCTGTCATATTTGTTGTTATCCTATTTAATTTGGAAATGTAAATTTTTTAAACATTATTGAGAATTCCATTCTTTTTTCACGGCTGTCTACAAACTTTCTCAAACAATTCGTTTGTGACGAAAAGCCTTTTTGCACTTGAGAGATAAGAGTAATTAGACCTAGAGTACTCCCTCTTGAACCTTTCTCAGTCCTTCTAATGTAGGGTGAGGTTTGTATATCTCATACTATTGAAGAATGGCGCACCTCAAAAGTATATGAAAACATGTAGTTTTGGTGCTGGAGGCCTTGTGATGGCATGAAAATCTATCGTCACCCCCAACTATAAAATTTAGAGCTCCAAAAATAATACAGATGGAGCATATTTATACATAATGAAAAACTTTGAAACTGGATATTCGTGATGTTGGATTACAAGGTGGATTATTTTATGGCTTGAAATCCGTCTTTTTTTCTATTTTTTAGTATCCATAACCTTGAGATTGATGAATTTGAGGACTTTTTAAGCATTGGAGCAACCTCTTTCAATGGATTTTTTTAAGGGCGTCTTACATCGGTTGACCCAACTTTTCCTTAAAATGTATTTTTTATGAGAATTAAAAAAAGGAAAAAAAACAAGAACAGGGATTTAGAATTGAACTGCGCAAGCGGACTGAAAAAACTGAACTGGTCTGCTTAAAAACGGAGTGTCTTACTTCGGTGTTGGAGATTGTTTTTAGAGCCATCTCCTTAAAAATTGAGAATAGGGATTTATGAAAAAACTGAACCGGTCTCCTTAAAAACGGAGCCAAATCGAGCAATTCCAACCCAGATCAGCACTTTTAAAAGCATGATCCCAACTAATGCCTTTACCACAAGAATTAGTCCATACTATTGAAATTGTTGGCCAATAATGTATTTTATAAAAGAAATGATTTGAGAGAAGAAGGTGATCACGGAAGAATTCCCCCGAAGTCTGAAGAAGGAAATAGCAGTGAATAATTCACAATGACTAATCCAACCGATGCAATCCCAATGCAGTCAAAGGAAGGGTGGACCAAAAGTAAGAGATTGAAAAAAACAAAAGAAGGTGGAAATTTGGTTGCGGCATGCGCGTTTAGGGGGGTGGATGCCTTGACCTCTCACTGTTAAACATATCCAACAAAAAGAGAGGAAGAAGAAGAAAAGGGCCCAACAAGAGGCCTAAGAAAGCTGATATATCCCCCAATAAGACGTGATAAGCCTAGCTTGGCCAAAGTTGCAAGGGGAACTCTGTCATTGTTCTCGAGTGACCTGATCTTGAAGTTCTCTCTCTCGTTGGGACAACCCTTTATCGATGATCAAGGCCTCTCCAAGATTGCAGTTGGGTGCCCCAATTGGAGAAATTTGACCTTTGCAAGTGCCCAAAGACCAATAAGGGGGCTTAATCGCCATTGCAAAGAAGTACCTGAGCTCAATAACCCTAACCTAGGAGAATCGGGAATGAGACTCTGAAACCAATTTGAACAATTAGGCAAAAGAGAGATACCACTAAGCAAGAAGATGAATAATAT